GAGGTTAGGTGAATCTTGATGTGTAAAGCAAAAGTTATCATAGACTAAAAGTTTCTGGCTGCTGTCTTCTGTGAAATAATGGCATCATGATGTCTCCTGTCTTTCCCCGGTGTTGTGTTCAATCGAATTAAAGATTTTTTTTCAGGCCCTATACATTATTTGGCATGGGTACCTTTTTATTTTTTTGTTCTTCGAAAAAGCCGAAATATCGATGATATTTTAAAAAAAAAACGCATCCTTTTTTTTGTAAAAGCTACTAAAAGTTAAAAGAACAATTTTTTTTTAATCAAAAAAGAAGGTAACAGGCTAAAACGTCATTAAAGAAAAGACCTTCAAAAATGTTCTTGGTGAAAATGACCCTGAGAAGCCGTTCTTAGTGATCTTCCGAAAAAAATGTCTTCCAACATGAAAATTTCCTTTCTGTAAAACGCGAACTACGGTTGTCGATAATATTAATCATATACTGTAATTTATTACAACGAACTGAATTTTATTATATATTTACATTTGCAATAAAAGAGAAACTTCATACAATAGAATGTGTTTGCGGGTAGGCTGAGTGTTGAGTATAGGTGTGAAATATGGAGTGTGAGCCTTACTTTCACTCACATCCTTCCTGTACGAAATAAGCTCTCTTGATAAATACTTAAAATATTTACTAGAGTGTTTTTTTTTAATTACAACGTCATCTACTGTCTAATGATATGATATTTAAAAAGATAACAGTTGAAGATGAGCAGTATTTTCTAACGAGGGACCTTTTCTCAAGTACATTTACTCTGAAGGACAGTTTCCAAGAGACATGTTTGACTGTATTCCAAAAAAATATCTATTCCAAACAGTGTGTAGTAGTATATATGAATATCGTTTCAGCTCGATTGGACAAAGCAAGTCGAAGAAACGAGGACGTTTCTGCAAGTTTTTCATGAAAATATCAATTTAAAAAAAATATTCGATTTGTTATTTCCGCTACATAAATTTGTTTTTTTTTTGCGTTTAAAGATAATGTTTAGATCCAAAAAATATACTAATCAGGTAGATATTACTTGAGATTATACAACAGCCACAAAAAAAAAGCAAAAATGAACAAAATAATTAAAATTTTGGGTTGCAACGAAGAGGGTACTGTTAAAAGATTCTTTCCAAAAAAATTGAATTAGAGCCTAACGTACGATGCAAAAGTAACGGCACAAAATGTTGATCATTTTATTTCTGCATAGACATGGCTGTGAAAAGAAATTTTTTTACCATTCGATAGGAAATTTTCTTCTCTTTCATAATCGTACGTCACTTAATTTAATCAACAGTCATAGACAAAATGACATGAGAAAAAAATAGCTCTACACTTTTTGTATATTTCACAATAACGACACAATATGTCGACTAATGGATCTTTTCTTGAAGCTGTGCTGGAACGATAATTTTTTATCAACTGATGGGAAATCTTTTCTTCTTTCGAACTGTATATAATTTGTTTTTGTTATGGGTTAATAGAAGAAATGAAATAAAGAACAGTTCATACAAAGAAAAAATTGAATTTTTCATTGATTTATTTATCGAAGAAATTCTGTAAATTAACTAGAATATTAATTGAAACAGGTTTGACTTTATTGATAAAAAAAAGTGTATGAGAATAGTTAGAAAGCTAAAAAAAATAAAATACATTGCCATGTACAATTAAACAAAAGGTCAAATAACATAGTAAAACTACATTACAGGCTATGATTCGAGATATTTAGAAGAATCTTCGTCACATGTGGCGTGTTGGACTATATTCCGTTGTTAAATAAAGATTTTTTTATTCTTTATGCTTTTTCTAATAAAGACTGACATTTCCGTTCTCTTTCATGAATGAATGACAGTTGCTATTATATAGGGTGGGTCATAAATAACTGCGCGATAAGAAATTTCAATATTTTCACTTTGGTGCAATCAAATGGGCTGATTTTTTGGTTAATGGTAGAACTTTACTCACAATTTTATTTCATGCGAACAATATAAGTAAATATTACTATTAAATATTATAATTTTCCTCATGAAAAAAAGTTTCCTTCTTGTCAAGTAAGAAAAATACATATGAAGCATTCTGTAGATTATTTTCAATTGTCATCGGAGATGATGACAAGAGGAAAACAAAACAAACTTTAGAAATGATACGATATTGATGTACAGCGAGAAAATTTTCTGAACTAGTTAGTTTAAATGCTGAAATTCGTGTCCGACAACTAACACGCACAGTTGAAGCCCTTCAAATACCGAATCAGTAAGCTACTAGCAATAACCGTTGTTCCTTCCACACGTGAAAATTTGAAACATTGTAACTGTTGACTTTTAAACTAACTGGTTCAGAAAATTTTCTCGCTGTGCATCAGCATCGTATCATTTCTAAAGTTTAGTTTGTTTTGTTTTCCTCTTGTCATCATCTCTAATGACAATTGAATATTAACTACAGAATGCTTCACATTTATTTTTCTTATTTGACAAGAGAAAAAACTTTTTTCATGAGGGCAATTATAACATTTAATAGCAATATTTACTTATATTGTCTGCATGAAATAAAATTTTAAGTAAAGTTCTACCACCAGCCAAAACATCAGCTCATTTGATTGAACTGAAGTGAAAATATTTAAATTTCTGATCGCGAAGTTATTTATGGTCCACTCTGTATTTGTTACCATCTTAATATCATACTTCAGTTGATTTACAGAATTTCTACGATAAATGAATGAAAAAAAAAATCAAAAATTTATTGTACCAACTGTTGTTTGTTTCATTTCTTTTATGAACGTGTAACAAAAACAAGTTATATACCGTTTGAAAGAAGAAAAAATTTCTCATCAGCTGATAAAAAAGGATCGTGTCAACATTGCTTAAAGAAGAAATACATCAGTCGAAATTTTGTGTCGTTATTGTGAAATATACAAAAAGTGCAGAACTATTTTTTAGGGTGTCTCTAATTCTTCTCATGCCGTTCGACTATCGAATGGTAAAATAATTTCTTCCTGGAGTCATATCGATGAAGGAGTAAAAGAGTTGACATTTTATGCCATTACTGTTGCATCGTACGTTATCTATCTGTAGGAGTGTGGGTAAAGAGAAGACTCTGTTCAAGACTCACTTACACTCACATTAATTATAATTTTTGGCATCGATTACCCAGATATATAGTTCGTACATGAATATTTACGCTATGAAAGATTATCATGAGAAAACTTTGATAATTTAGCTTAATCTTACTCTGATTCGTCCTATCGTGACCTCTGTTCAGTCCATCTCGACTACTTCACATTTGTGAACATGAATAAAATTAAGTCTAAATATAATTAAATTGTTTTAAATATTTCAGTTGATTATAGAATTAACAATTTTGTTAGCTTTCTGTAAAACAATTACATTTGATCGCTAACTTTTATAAATTTTATTAATGAAAGTTCATATAGAAAATAGTTTGTTTTACAAAATTTCAAATAAAAGTTACTTTGTTTTAAGAAAAATTATTGGAATTTATACACGACGTTAGTTTTTAAACTGAAAAAAAATGTTGATCTAGGTTGAATTGAGGTGATATGCAGGAAACTACACATAATATAAAGGAAAATAAAAATAAAATGGTAATGAAAAATGACTTGCGCTAGTTTGGCCTGGTCTCACCAATTTAGACCGTTACCGCTATCGCTAAGGAAAACTCTTACCGGTTGCAATGTTGGAATGTTCATAGACGAATATTCAATTTAAAAAAATAATATTATTCTAAATTTGGTGTCAATTTAAGAATAAAAACTCACGTTTGTCTCGAGCATAACTTGTCATTACAGTTAAACAAAGGAACCAAACGATACCAAAAGCTTCGATGAAAATCTGTTGTCTGCTCCAACTGGTGTTTTTTGTCTAAAGATGTATATTGAATTCATAAATATAACATTTTTGTTAAACGATTTTTTTTTATGTATAAAATTTAATTATTTGTATTCAAGACTATTTTCAATCTATTGATAATAATCAAACAGTAAAAGATCAGAGCTAATATGTGAGATGTCCCAGAAATAATCTACCAAAACAGGAATAGAATATCTTCATAATGTTTTAACCAAATGGGATAATATGTTTCAAAAATGATAAAGAATAGGTTTCCGTTAGTCTCTCAGCCTTCTCCAAGGCTTTGTAAGATCATTTCAAATGTTTTTATACAGAAAACTTCTGAGAAAATCGTGTAATTACGGTTAAATTTTGGCAGAGTACTCGTATGAATAGTCAATCATAAAGACACAAAAATGTCCGAAAACTTTCTGATAGATTCCTTTTTTTTGCAGCATTTTCGCAATGATCATTTCAATAGAAAAAAGTTTTCATTTTTATCAACAAATAACGGTGCTGAACTCCAAATACTAAAAACAACATAAAAGTGCTCTGGAATTCTGAAGTAATTTAATTTGTTTTCCACTAGTTTGATCCTATCACCTTTATTTGTGGATCAAAATAGGAAAATCTTATAATCGAAATGATCAACAGAAAAAGCTTTACAAATTCGTATACATGAAAATAAAGGTTCTCAGACCTCTGGATTTCTTATGTTTGAGTACTCAACTTTTGTATAGAAGAAGATAGTGCTACATTTCAAATATGTTAATAAGCCAATGATTTATTAATAAAAACTTACAACTTTCTTCTATCATTAGGAAAACAATTGGATTATTTCATTGAAATACGGCGAAGATACTTCATTTAACTTTTTGTTGGTGTTTTTCTGGGGCACTCGATATCAATGAAAAAAATATTGAATAAAATTAATACTGTTTCTTGTTGTTTCTGTAAATGCAACAAACATTAACCTTCAAAAAAATTACTCGAAAAACAAACATATTCCATTAAAATATAATGGCATATATTTTGTCGCTTTCTTTTTCGCATGCATTTTTTTCTTTTGTTGTAATCTTTATGTATTCTTTTACTTGTACAAACTGCGCAAATTTTTTTTTTTTTTGTAATTGAAAGATTTATCAATGCGTCCTTGGATTTCAACCATTGGTTCTAATTGTCGATCGCTTTTATCACTTCAAATAATTTCTTTTAGTCTAGGTTTTTCTTGTATTATTTATTTAATTTTATCAAATTTTTCTCATTTGTCTGTTGAAAATATAATTCCTAGAACTTGGATTCGATCTGTACTAACAAATAATACTGATAAAATCGTTTTAAAGTCTGACAAACATGATATTAATCCTATAAATCGTATTGAAAATAAAAGTTTTATTTGTGATCGTATGAGAAAGAATGATGGAACTCGAGAAGAAAACGTTAGTTCAGAAGTGGATGATCATCTTATAAATATTCTTCGTCGTAAGTGAACTATGAATTACTTTCTATTTAAAATATAGTTTCTATGTTTCTCTAGCATACTGTGATATTGTGCCTATTCTTCGTAACAATTGGATTTCTGCTAGACACTATATTGAAAGTGATATTATTTTTATTATATATACTGGTGCTTCTTTTTATCATTCACGTGCAACAGCCGTTCGAGATACATGGTTATCACGTGTAACTTACAAATATTTTTTTAGTCAAACACCATATTCATCATTACCAGTGACTGTTATTGAAGGTGCTGGAGAAACTTATTTATCTAATATTAAAAAACTCTATCGTGGAATGCAAATAGCATATAAAAAACATAATCAAACAGCTAAATTTTATTTTCTAGCTAGTTGTGATACATTTGTTAATGTACCACATTTACTTAAACGTCTTGAATCATTTGATTATAAACAACCTATAATTATCGGTGGTTTTCCTAGTAATCATACATGTTATGTTAAACGAAATGCCACAAATGATATTATTTCTTATCCATCAGGAGGTGCAGGTTTTCTTCTAAGTGCTCATATGATGAAATTAATGGTACCTAAATTAAATTCTTATTTTGAAAATGATTGGCCATTAACAGAAAATACAGCACATACCGATGGCAAGAAAAAAATACACCTCTTTTTTTTTTAAATAGATATTTTAAATTGACTTTTTTTAGCTGCTCTAAGTTGTCTTGCTCATTCTATGGGTATAAAATCAACAATAGTTTCTGGATTTTGGCAATATAATCCTGAAAAAATACTTAAAGATATTGGAAAAGAAAAATTCTATGTTGATCCAGAACCAAGTACATTTCATAATATACATCCATTATCAATGGATATTCTTGATGAATTTTATATTCATCAATTACTTGATCGATTAGGAAATGATAAGAATTTTGATGAACTTATGAAATTTACTCGACAATTTATTATTACTCATTATGAATTATTACGTATTAAAAGAAGCGAATGCACATTGCCTGTAGTCGAAGGAATAAAAACATAACTCGTCATACTCTAATTTCAAAAGAATTTACATAATTAAATCAACCAACTAAAAACAATATTGAATAGAAATATTCTAGACTTATTATTCATAGTTCATATGAAAATAGGTATCTAACAAGTTTTTATATTGAATTTTTCAACAATATTAAATGGATTTTTAAAATACAACTGTTTCTTTAAATTGAAAATCAAAGTTGAAGTTAATCAATTCTTTTTAATACTTATATTTTTTATTTGATTGTGGTTCTTAATTGTTTCTAGTCATGTTTGAATTCTATAGAACTTATTTGTAAACAAGAATAATGAAAATTAAAAGTAAATAAATTTAAAAAGTAGGATTATTTTTTATAAAAATTTTAAGTTGACTCTTGCTTGGTCTTCCTAGCTGTTTGTTAGTTTAAATACTTTTATATAATGGAACATGAAAAAACAAAAACAAAAACGTTTTTTTAACATCAACGTCAACTTTGAGTTTTCGTGTGAAGTATTTTTAAGTTGAAATGCTACATCTAACGTATACTTTACCCAAGGAAGAAATTGATTTTATGAAAAGAATAGTAATGATATGAACTAAAATTAGATACGTCTAATATTCTTATTGAAAATGAAAGACTTCCATAAGTGCTCAGAAGTTGTCTCGTGTATAATCATTTGTTCTTGAATTTCCTGCACGACAAGGAATAAACAAAATTTTATAATTATTCATTATCAAAAGAAGTTATTAAGATTATGAAGACAATATGGTTTGACTAGACCTTCTAAATAATTTATAAGAGAACTTTAATACTGATTTCGAATAAAATTCACGTAATTGAATTTGCTAGTAAGGACCTTTTTTTTTTATTTACTTCGATGAAATAACCTGTAACACTAATGACAAGAGTATGGATGAAGAGGAGAATCTACGAACCCACACGAATTCTCTATGAATAGGTTATAAGTGCTCGCAAGTTTGTGGTATTATTCGATACGTATTGGTTTATATAAACGATAAAAATTCTCGAAAAACGGTTCTATTGACATTCCCGATAATTATTATAACACTTTTTATTACAGATACATGAAACAGGTATAATTGCACTGTGGATGTTCCTTTTTGTTCGATTTGCTTCTCAAGTTTATTACTCGCAGCTTGTGTGATCTTCAATCTTTTTGCGAAGACATCAATTTTTTCAATTCATTTGTCAATACTGTTTATAATGATAATAGATTTATTGTGTCAAATTTCAATGCTGCGGTAATTGTGCTTATGACTGAACCACACCTGTTGTAACCCGTCGCTGTCGTCGTGGATCGAGCTTTTTCACTTTGTTTCTTAGTTCAGATAAGGAACCGATACATACAATAGGTAATAACAGAATGGAAGAGTATGCGTAATAAAAGAGTGTTGGCAACACATCATGAGCCCAATTAGGTTGACCACATAAGTGAACGAGATCAATGATCGACAGCGGGAAATCGAAGCACAAATATAGCAATGACATAGAGACAATATGTATGGTTAATTTTCGCTGCTTTCGCCATTCTACAATCCGATGAAATCGATACTTTTGCCAAACAACACGTACAAGTAGCGCTCTGTTGGACATAGCAATTAGAAACGTAGGTGCTACGGCGAAACCAACTCGTTCAATCAGACCAAAAGATGGTATTGAGTCGTAGCATCCAGCCATGCTACACAAATCCGCTGTATAATCAAATGTATTTTGGCAAGGTGGTGCAAAGATTGCTATACCATAGAAAATCATCATAAACAACACGATCACGAATAATGGGAGATAATGGACAAGCACACACTTTCGTGGCGTGGCTACCATCCATGTATGAAAAATAAGAATATGCCGTTCAAACGATGCCCACATGATCAAGACAAGATCAATGAAAAAGAAGGCATAGTCAATAAACCACCAGATGAGACATAGCGCTGGTATAACTGGACGCACGATACCTGTGCTAAAATATTGTAAATGCAGCGGAATATCAATCAGTCGATAGATGAGATTGAAAAAAAGTATGAGTATTGTTGCATGATTGTGAAGAGCTCGTCGTGAATTTTCGTTCTATCAGTAGGTGATAGAGCGCGAAAATAGAACAGAAAACAGCAAACACATCAAATACGAGAAAGAGCCAGAAGTGCAATGGATGTACGAGTTCATAGTTGGAATCTGACGAGTTTGAATAGAATGTATTGTTCATAGGAAACGAATCCATTTAAACTAAGTGTGCGTCGGAACATTCAGCTATAAGCTGCTACTGTGAAGAATGATAATGTGATGAAATTGAATAATGAAGCGCAATAACAAAGTAAAAAACTTGAGCTTACCTACGAGAAATTTCACTAATCGACTATTTTTCACTTGAATGAGAAAGTAATGTATACGTATACAATGCGAATCTGATTTGTATCCAATGTGGAATGCTAACTTTGATAATAATTAAAATAATACTGTGTTGTGTGCCAATATTGATGTCATCTCTGGTTGATCTTTCTTGCTTCTTTCCTCAATATCTTCCGTCTATTGTTTGTCCGTGTGCTCATCTCTCTCTCTCTCTCTCTCTCTCTCTCTCTCTCTCTCTTGCTTTGCTCTATATAGACGTGTGTTATGCTTGAAATAATCACATTCTGGAGATATGAAATATATTAATAAGCATCATTACTCCAGATAAATTATGTAAATTCGAAATGCACAACATACATGTCCATATGCGCATGCTGATTCAATTATAGCCGAGTTGAAATGCAATGAATTGTCATGCTATAGGAAAATGCGTCTGTTGACGTCCTGAGTGTCACACACACTAATAAACATATCTTTTCAGCACGTCCAAATACATGACAGTCGATGTCAGATGTGAAATAAAGATCTACATGAACACTCAACAACTCCTGTCGGACTCACTTATCGAATGTAGCAAGATGTTTGCAACATTTTTACATATATGCGTATCTCTCACTATATGGCTATAAAATTATGCTAATTTTTTCGTAAAAAGCTAGTCATAGGCGACATTGTCACACTTTAAAAATAGTGTCATTTTCATGTTTGCTCACTAATTTTTGAAATATCGTCGAAATGTCATATATGACCAGATCGAGTTCATTTTCATAGAAAATTGATTTCTCTATGTTCAACCGAAATAATGTGTGATAAAATGATTCGAGTAGAAGAAGAACAGTTAAAATCCAGATTATGATCAAACATTAACAGATAATTCTAAAGCAACATTTCACCTACACTCAAACTCTCAATATGAAATCTTTTACATATCTATGTATCACTTGGAAAAATCATTTAAAAATTCACATAATCATATTCATTCTATCTGTGAAGATGGTTAATATTATTGTTTAAATTAAGACACATAGTTTAGAGATTCAAATTATGTATCTTTTTACGAAAAAGTTAACATCATTTTACAATCCTATAGTGAGAGATACGTATATGTAAAAATGTTGCAAATATCTTGTTACATTTGGCAGTCACTGTCATGCATTAAAACGTGCTGGAAAGAAATGTTTATTGGTGTGTGAAACTCAGGACATCAGCAAACGACGTTTCATATAACATGAATATTGATAGCGTTTATAATCCAAAATGAAATAGCCATAGCAACCCTGCAATTATATGATATTCGATAATCTACAAAGTTTTAGATTTTTCTCAGATGAATAAATTTCGTATATTTAAATCTGAACATTCTTGACTTTTACAATGAATTTTTTGTTTTGTGTATATAGGTTTAAAACTGCCGAAGAAATCATCATTATTTTTTACTTCGACAAAATTTGTTTGAAATTTCTTATATAAAGAAAAGAAAATTTTTAAGAATAAAAATAAAAAATAATATTTATTAATTATTATAAACTGGAAATTGTCTATGTACTGTTGATTTATGATTCGCAAGTGTTCGAGATTGACAAAAACTTTTACCGCAGTCTAAGCATTGATATGGTTTATCTATGAAAGAAAACAAACGAAAAAATCATTTTCATTTTTCATGAAACAAATTTCAATTTACCTTTTAAATGAGTGTATCTAATGGAATAAAACAAAAAAAAAAGGAATGAAAAATTTCTATTCAATAAAAAAATAATACAACTTATTTGTGATCTCTCAAATGATCTTGTCGTCGAAATGCTTTATAACATATTTCACATGTAAATGGTCTTTCACCAATATGTGTTCGTATATGAATTAATAAATTATAAGATTTTGTGAAATGACGATTACAATATTGACATATGTGTTCTTTCGGTTTTTTTTTACTTAACAACATTTTTTTAAAAACAAAGAAAAATCAGTTAAGTTATCAACAGAAAAAAGTATTTACTGTTTAATATCATTGATACTGTTATTTGATAGATATGATTGTCGAAATGGTTTATGTGAAATATTTGGATTCGCCATAAAGACAGATTCGTTTTCTGACGCTCTGTTTTTATTACTAAAAACAAGAAAAATTAAGTAATCTCAAAATCATTTGAGCAGGTTTGTTTTACATTTTGTTTTCTGTTGTTATCAACGTTAATGAGATTTGAAATAGTCATTTGTAAAGAGAATTTTATTTTTGAAGAATCAAATGATTGGAAGTTTTTCCAACAAAAGGTCCTGCAAAACTGAAACCCAAGTTTTGTTTTGAATCACATGCAACTCTGTTTGAATTACTCAGAATGATAACGGAAACACTTTTCTACGACTTTTCCTCACCGAAATACACTAATCTTACGAAAAGCACAAAATGATGTTTCTATACCAAATAGTGAAAAAAACGTTTTTGAAGCCTTTCGTAAGATTGATATATCTTGACCAAAAAAACGTCGTAGAAAATCAAAGTATTGGATTTTTTCAAAATCGCTGAGAACGATCTGAAAGAGTTTTTCAAATCTTTGCTTTTTCGAAATCACTCGTATGGTATACACTTGATTCGATTCATCATTTCAAACACCTTATATATGCACACTTATATGTACGTCGTGCTAGCGGACCTAAAATGGAT